GAAAAAAAAGGAATGACATGGCAGTGAGTAAATAAGTATATTTCTAGGTGAACCGTCACGTTATTAGTCAGAACATCACTGCACAAGTACATACAAAAGTGAAAGTGTGTAGGTTATTAGACTTCAGGTCACACTGACTTCACATTTATTAAACAGCCCGCAGTGGCTTTCAGTGCTCAATAAGAAGAAGCAACTTTGTCATGAGAGCTAAGCTGCCACCAAGCAGTTGCCTTCATGCTAACATCTGAAAGCTCCTGCTTAAATGCTGAAAGCCAGTGGGATGACGAGAGCCCTTTATCACAGTTAGCATCTGTACTGAGAATCTTGATCAAGTGAGACTTTACCTCTCTGCTCTATGAGAGACTTGTGTCCTCTGAGCTTGCCTCAGGACTCCTGTTTCAGTGCTTGACAACAAGTGCCTCAGACTCCCTTCCTGTCAGTGTTCCTGGAGCAATCATGATCCAGGTTGACCCTGCTAGGAAAGGAAGAAGCGATCAATGTAGTGTTCTGCCCTGTACCAGCTGGGACCTGTTCACTTACACTGAGTCTTTATTATGTCTTAATGGTGCTAGACAGGAGTTCAGCTCACCAGGGTCATCTCTTACTGCTGATCCCGCCAGACCTGTTGCTGGAGCTCTGATTTTTCCTAGTAGGTTGACTGTCTTAGAGAAGTTGCATCTCTAAGTTCATCCTCTTTTAAAGCACCATTGCCGTTGCCTGCTGTGAGCAATTTGCCTAAAATGTATTATGTCATCAGTTTTATTGTGTGTGAACTTTTGTGCAATCAGGTTATAGATATTAAGCCTATATGCTGTCATTTAAAAGTTTGGGGTGTGAACTTTTGTGCAATAAGGTAATATATGTTAAACCTGTAGGCTGCCATTTAAAAGTTTGGGGTAAGTTTTAATTTAAATTTTTTTTTATAAATAGCAAGGATGCATTAAATTTATCAAAAGTTACAATAAAGACTTTTACATTGTTACAAAATAGCTCATTGCCACAGTTGAGAAAAATATATATTTTTTATACATGTGAGAGAGTTTGGCATCACAATGGCTTTTTTTCCAAGCGGACTGTTAAAAAAAGTTATTAGAATTATTTTCTGAAGGCTCATGTGACACTGAAGACCGGAGTAATGGCTGCTGAAAAATTCATTTTAAACAGATTTTATAATATATTAAAAGAGAGATTTTTAAAATGTTAAATAAGTTTTCGCTGTATTTTTGATCAAGTAAATTCAACGTGAGCATAGAAGACTTTCAAAAACAAAAATATTATCAACCCCAAGCTTTTAAATGATAGTGTATATTTTGAATCGCTGACATTATTTTATTGAAGGCAGTTTTCAGTCTGTGAGTAAATCAACGTCTGTGGTTAACATTAGTTAAACTTTTGTTAAATAGTCATCAATTAAGCAATTTATATATTTTCATGAAAATTATAATTTTTTTTAATTAAAATGTATGTTTTTATATTATTTTCTATTTCCGTCCGTCCGTACGTATACGTTAGTATAAAAAATGCGAGCAATCATAGCACCTATTTTATTTTTAATCACCTTTTACCTTTTTACAGTTCACCTAAATGTTCCTGCAACATAAATTATTTTTAAAACTGCAAATATCCTTTAATTGATATGAGATAGTAATTTTTCAAATGAAAGCAAAATAAATGTGTCCATTGTTAGGTACACCCGAGTAGTACAGATCAGCACACTGCTTTGCCTCCAGAGCTTTCTGAATTGTTAGTGGCAAGAATTCAGCAAACCATGCTGGAAATATTCCTCAGCGGTTCTAGCCAGGTTAACTCAATACAATCACACAGTCTCTGCCCATTTACAGGCTGCATGAACTTCTCATTTCAGCTCACCCCAAAGGTGCTCTATTGGATTGAGATCAGGGGACCGTGTTGCCATTGGAACAAGCTGAAGTTCCAAGCTATTCCCACAATAGAACAAGGTGGAGATGATGAATGCTTTATGACATGGTGCATTGTCCCAGTGGAAGTAGGCTATTCATTTCAAATGGGTAGACTGTGGCTATATAGGGATACAGATGGTCAGTAACAATGCTCATACACTACAGCATCTCAATGGAGCGCTGTTTGTATTTAAGGGGCCTGTAGTGCGCCACGCAAATAGTTCCCGTACTATTACACCACCAGCAGCTTGTACCATTGACATGAGGTGGGCTGGTATAAGCGCATTATTCTTCTGCTGTGGCTCAACACCATGAAGCTTCAGAGATGCTCTCCTGCACAAAACTGTTATAAAGAGTGTCAGTTTGAATGACATTTTCCTCTAGCCTTTTTCTTTAACAAGGTGTTTTTGGCCAGAGAACCTCTCGCTGTTTCTAGCCTGC